CAAACACATAGATAAATATTTATTTATACACTCAGGCATGCACGCACATTAAAAACCTCAAGAGGGCCCAGCAGAGCCTGAGGACGCACCAAGGGAGAAGTGGGAGACGTCGGAAATTCCCTGAGGTCGGGTCCTGGTTCGGCAAAGGACGGACCCGGTTCTTCGGCACCACAGCAGAGCCTGGGCTGGAGAGTGGGGGTGCGGGAGAGACCTGCGGGTTGTTTGGGCTGTCGTTCTACTAGCTGAATATCAGCTCCTAGTTGAATATCAGCTATACCGGCTATTTATCCTCATTATGATCAATATTGGGGAAAAAAATGCTTCCACGCAGAGCTTAGTGAAAAATATTTGCTGCTCTGAAATTAAAGGTCAATAAATCAGAAGTAGCTTTTTGAGTTTGGGCAATGTGTTTGTAGCTCCATACAGGGTGCCTGAAACATGAGTGGATAAAGAGACTGAAATTGCAGGTACAGGCTGAGTAATTGCAGAGCAAATTTTATCCACAGTTTGGCTATGTCAATGTAAAATTTGTTCAAGTGCATCCTTGTAGATAATAGAGTGATTTAGAGTGATTTAGAGTTTATTTTAAAATATTTAATATGCTCAATATTGCTCATTTCATGGGTTGTTTATGTGCTATCCCAAGGACAGAGAATATGAGGGGGTATTGTGGGACAGAGAAGTTTAGAAGTGCGGGCCTGACATTTCTACACAAAGACATTGGTTATGCTTGTTCTCTAGCCATGTCAAGAAAACCATCAATTAATCCAAAAGAATTAGAGAAATCTCCCCATCCTTTCAGCTCTTCAGTCTCTTCCCAAGTCAACAAAATGATTGTGTCTGTGTGTGATCCCAAATAAAACGTCTAACCTCTTTGATTCATTTATTTCCCTCTCCCCAAAATCTGTCATTTCCCTTACTGTGCGTATAGCATCTAAAGGGCTTTTATCTCAAACGAGTAAACTCTTCAGCTCTTCTAAGCTTGATTCACATGCACGTATACATCAAACAAGAATTTCTTAAATGTACGGTAGAAAATTGGCTGTGTTCTTTGATTTCTCAGCTAATCTTCAGTAGAAATGATTCTGCTTTAGGGCTCATTCAGTGATTGCTATGACAGCTACAGTGGTTGCCTACTCAGGTTGCACATAGCTCCTTAAATCAACATTTGCGTAGAAGCAGTGCAAAAATCAGAGATGGAGTATTTAATCCATGGTAGAATCTCATTAGTATACTGCAAAGATGATTTATTATCTTTACATTCCAAAGTTAAAGTAATTGTTATTTAGTATATGTTCAAAGATACAGCTACTTTTAATCTGTTTTAAAATGTGACAGGTTCTTGCAAAATGCTACGACTATGGGGTGGCTGACTTGCTGAAATAGCTGAACCTGCCAAACTTTTCACCTCTGAATCACCACTTCGGATACCCAGAGTTGTCTGGGAATTTTGTAATCATTCTGAAATCAATTTGCCCAAGTCAGCCCAAATCACAGGAGACAGACAGGAGTTTTTGTTAGTTGGTAGAATATCGAAGGCTGAATGAGCTTAACATGAGTCCTTCCAGGTAGGTTTTTTGAGGGCAGCACATCAGCGCGTTGGCCAGGTGATACGGTGGGAGTTTGCATTTCTGTCCCACTTTGGGGGACAGTTGGAATTTCTAAGCCATCTTTTTGGTATGTTGTTGTTCCTTGATTTCTGTCTGCACACTGCCTTCGGATTTGAATATGTCTCTGTCATACTCATCACAAAATACTTTGAAAAACTGAATTTGCTGATATATGATGAAAAAGAACATGAGGCAGAGGAGAACCAATTAAATTGAAACTGGTACTTCAGGAGAAGTTTCCTGAGGGCATAGATCCAGTTTCTGGGTCTGCTTGCCCCTGCAGAGCAGGGTGGCCAGAGAGGTTGGAGCCTGCCTGCATTGACTGAACAATTGCATAACTTCTGTCCAAAAAAGAAAGAAAAACTAAAGATTCAAGAAATGACAGAGGTCTTGTCTCAGCCACAGCTGCAGCCTGGACGTGGTGAGTGCTGATGTGCACTGACCCTCCTGACGAAATCGCTGTGGATACGCCGTTATAGAACACATAGATATCCCAACCAGAATACAGAACGGATTCCCAATTTGAATTGTAAAAATATGTTCATTTAAGTAAAACACATTCAGTACTTTTTTTCCACCTCATTTTACCATGTTCTCTTATCTCTGTAACTGTCTCAGCAGGTTGCCAAAAGTAACTTGAGCGCAGCTCAAGGCATTCTTTCAAACGTCTTAAAGCAAAGAAAAAAGGCAGGTTTCACTCACTCGTACCAGCCTTTGGAAAATCGCTAGTTGTAATACATCATTTTTCAGACCTTCGAAGCAAATTTTCATGTCTGAAAAGTTGTGATTCACAAACACCTCACTACTTCAAAGACTGAGCAAGTCACAGATTTTTTCTCCCTCTTCTTGCCTCAGGAGACTAGATGATAAATTCAGCATATGAACACTGGCTCCTAAGGGTGATTCTTTCGAGTATTCAAATGCTGTATCCAGCTAGGAAGCAGGGCCAGCTGACGTGATCCGTTGTTATCCTGCCACACGGGTAAGTAGAACTGGGAAAATTTGCTTAGAAAAATCTACCTGTTCCTGGGGCACCCGTTTTTGTGCAAAATACAAATCATTTGAAGGACAAGTAGCATTTCTGTGGCGGCGAATGCTGACTTTACTTATGTCAACTTCAGTGTTTTGCTGTGAAAGACAAGTTAATATTAAACCATGTTTGGTATCTCAGCTACCATCCTGAACATCCCGATCCCAGAGATGTATCCACCCAACATTTAGACTAGATTTCCAAACAGATAGGTTCCTGCCAGCTGATCTTTCTACGTGTTAAAAGTGGTTATGAATATCTTAGTCTGTAAGTCCAACGTCATTCAAGAATTCTGTTTAAACCTGTTAGGAACCAAAATGCAGTGCACAGTGTACCGGTGAAATACCCTCTTGAGTTGCTAGCGTGAATTTGTCTGTCTGTACATTAAAGAATTAAATTGCTGACGAGTACAAAGTATTAAATACTTAATAGCTGCCTCAATCTCTCCTTAAAAATTGGAAGTATAAGAACAAATTACATCAAGCGTACTATTAAAATATTCATGTGCAGCCTTCAAAAAAAGCTAAGAGCATGTTCAGATTTTTTTAATGGTAGCTATAGCATCTTACAAGTAGTTTGATCTTAATAAATGGTCCTTTTAAGAAGTTCTACAGTAGCTTGCTTACTGTGTAGCTTACTTCTGCTTTTAATCGCAGAGAAGGGTTTTGTATTTCAGAGGGAACCACGTATGACTCGTGACAATTTATTATAAGTGTACAACAATTGTTTCTCTATCACTTTCTAGTATGTTGAAATTATAATTATTTTTTCTGAATGAAAATATAGACAAGCACAAAAATTGCCACACTGGATCATACCAGTGAGCTGCCTGTATCATAAATCAAATTAAAAGTACAGTTTCAAAGTTACTTAATGACCAGAAATCATTACTATTGCTCAATGGTGTACAAATCTCTGTTGGTTTTGGTTTTTTTTTTAAGGGAATCAGTTGCATTGTGTAATATTGAAACAGTGGTAAAAATTAACGGTTGTTTAAAACAACAGTTTCAGGTGAAGCTAGAGTCTTGAAAACATAAATGGTCTTATTAACTTCAGCAATTTTTTTTGGATGTGTAAAAGAACCCTTCATCTGGTGCTATTGGCATTTAAACCATGGTTGGCTACTTGGCTCCTAAACTCTCTCTACTTACATAAATTCTGGAAAACCCTGGGTTGATGACCCTCTGTCTATCCATAATTAAAGGTCCACTCCCTATCACAGAGCAATGGAATCAGAACCCAGCTAATTACTGATGATGAAGGCCTTTCTGTATAAATCAGTTGAGAGCTAAAGGATTTGACTGATGATTAGGCAATACTAAATAAAAAACACTATTGGCTGAAAATTACTTTATTGTAAGGGGACTGCTGTTAAGAAAGTCATTTCCAGTTGCATAAATGTTGGGAATATGGAAAGAGAGGTAGCACTGCAGGGCGTTTGAAGAAGGCAGAGAAGAGAGAATGAAAGTTAAGGGGTGAAATAGTATGTCATAGCTTGTGAAAGAGGCTGTGGGGATGGTGGTTGGCAAAAGAGCTGGGACTGCCTTTGCAGAGTCTGCCTGGAAATTACACTGACAGAACCTCAGTTTTCCTTTCGTACATAATGTTTTGTCTCAATAAGGCAGAGATTTAGTACTGTGTTACTTCTGAGATTCATGCTTGATCTTCACATGGTTTCATGTCTGATGGGTCCTTCTTCACAAGTGCTGAAAAAAAGCCACGTTCTGTGGAAAACAATTTAAGAACTTCTGTTAAATTCTTGAAACACGTGATAGCTGAAAACAATGTTTCTCCTGGACCCTGCTAGATGAGCAATCAATCTCTGCCTCATTGCAAAACCTCGAGAAGAAATACACTATTTTAATTCTCTTCTAATGAGAGATAAACTACATCTATCAGAAGCTAAGCCAAATGTGAGGAAAGATGTTTTTATCCTGCATAGGCTGGTTTTTTCCTTCACTTACAAATGAAAATAAAACTTACAAGGAACATTCTATGCAAGGAATATTGATAAAACAAATGCAAAGCACTTCCTTTTGCTAACAGACTTCAGTATTTAGTCTGTTTATTTATTCTAAAACTCGTTGTGCCTGTGAACCGGTTCCTCCAGCATCAATTCCTCACTACAACTGTCAGCTGCTTTTTAACACTCTTGGTCCAGAGCCAGAACCAGCGTGTTACCAATCAGCATAACATGGGAGTTAGTCACCAGAATCGGAGTGAACATGTCAGGTTCTTAAGGCTGCAGCAGCATTGGGCTCTTTTCCCCTGTAGAAAAGATTGATCCAAGGGTTCATGAGATCCCAGCACGCTTCACGTATGGCCTTTTGTTTGGGCTAGGCCACCTCTAAAATATACCGCCTAAGAACAGAACAGGGATTAAAGCAGGGCTCTGACGTATCCAAAAGTCTTGCTGTGGATTCTCTCCTTCTCTCAGCCCATTTCTTCCTAAATAACCAATAACTATAGTTCAAGGCAGATGAATTAGCCGGTCAAATAGGGCTCAAAGATGAATTACGACGTTGCCTCCAACACTAAAGCACTTGTTGTTTCGCCGACAGAAGCTGTTTTGTGATCAGTCTAGCTCGTACCTTTGAAACAGGCAGGGAGAGTAAGGTTGCCATCCACACATGGAACAGCTACGGTATAGGCACAGGATTTTTCTTTATTCTTGCAGAAGAAGGATATAGTTTCACCATGCTGAATGCCTGCCTTAAGGTCGTTCTGAACTCTTTTCTTTTCGCCATTGTATAATACTACAGCTTTCTTGACTGGAATTTCACATGGTCCTGTAAAACAATCCAGTTATAAGCAACACAGAAGGATAATTACAAGTCTGTTTTGAAAGATGGGTAGATTAGATCCCATCAGAAATCTGTACAAGTGACATTTCAGATTGCGAAATAATGTGTCCGACACATACACAGTACTTCAGTGGTATTAACAATGCTGAGGAAATTCAGACCCCTAAGTATAAGGTCGAAAGTTTCCAGTGAAAATCCAGCCTCAGTAAAATTTCTAGTTATATTAAATAGGAAGAGGAGAGGAAATACCCAAACGAAATAAAGTTTGATACGTGGTTTGTAACGGATAAGGGGTGTTTACCTTTACAGGTTGGCTTTGTGGACCAGTTTCCAGTCTTCTCACATCGGGAATGCTTAGGTCCGTCCAGCACATAGCTGGACTGGCAGCCGAAGCTGACGCTTTCATTATAGTGGTATGTTCTACGAACAGCAAACTCTATGAATCCATTCTCTATTCCTGTTGGAGTGGGGCATGTGACAACTGTGGTGCAAAAACAAAAACAAAGCTTTGTCAGTGTTGTGGTTCTAAAGGACACGCTATATACTTTGAAAAATACATAAAAACTGTCATGGTGGTTCATTTCAGCCTCTTGCACAGGAAAGATAGTTTTAAAACCCACAAGAAATAAATATTACTTGTTTTAAATACACATTTATTGCAATCTGTGGTTATATCCAAAAACTGCTTAAATGTGGCATAATTTCACTGAAAGCAGTGGAGTTCTCTGCACATAGGGTAAGGTTGCCTATTTCTTAGATCAATTCTAGTGTTTAGGAGAATAAAATGTTTACTGCACTCTGGAGGTCAGGCTCCAATTCCCCACTGTGAACTACATTTGTAAGGTCTTGTTTATGTAACCTTTACACCAGCAGCAGATATTTTGTCAATCCCATGTTGCCTGCAATCTTGTTAGCAATCACCTTCCATTCACCAGTCTGAATTTCAGAACAGTTCTACTGTATGTTGTAATAACAATGATAAAAAAAAAATATTAAGGTCGTTCATATAGTTTTACCTAGGGAATATTTTTAGGTGTTGATAAAAGTAAGTTACTTACCCTTGCACTCTGGAATGCTGCTCCAGTTCCCGTTGGCCATGCAGGTAGCTGTCTCGTTCCCAATAAGTGCGAGAGGAGGTACGCATTCAAAAGTAATTGTGTCCAGGAAATTAAAAATATTTCCAGGTTTTAAGTGACGGTAGGAAAGGACTCCAAATTCAGGAAGTGACGGAGGTGCACAAGTCACCGCTAGTAAAGCACAAGATTCATAGAAATCAAAGCTTAAAGATCAAATTATTGCTAGAATCACAGGAGCAACATGCCTGTAACAAATTAATCCACGCCGCCCTTCACGGAAATGTAGCTAACAAAACAAAACAAAACGTTCATATTCAAAGTCTCAGGAGCCTTAGAGTATGTAATTCACTACTTTTGCTATATTTTTCAGGCAAAATTGTGCAGCATATTTCTTTTTCAGCGAAGTGTTTATGCAGGACAGGTTATAGCAAAACCACGTATGACAGTGACAAAGCCATGACAATATCCTCTTTTCATACACAGGGAGAATGAATTTGAGTGGATAAGCATCTTACCTTCTGCTGCAAATAGCATCCCTGATCCTGGCCTTTTGTACAGACCTTTAAACTGTATTTCTCTAAAACTAGAATCCACACATCTAAACCCAAACATACAGCCTTCTTGATTTTTTACAACCATTTTTTGCACAGGAGGCCTCTGACTAAGATTATATGTAATTCAGAGCAATGTAAAGGAATCTTTCTGTTATAAGGATGGAGTAGTTCTTTGGTATTTAAATACGTACGTTGACACTGTGGAAAAGTTCCGCTCCATGTTCCATCTGCCATGCATTGGCTTGTTCTTGTCCCAACGAGGTTGTAACTGAAAACCAAAAGACCTGGGTATCAGAAAGCTTAACGAACATGAAGAACCAAGTTGTTCTTTGCAAGAATGATTACCGCTTCTCATAAACAGACTTCAGAGTCCCATTGTGAAATCTTTCTCTAGTTCTAGCACTTACTGACCTCAAAGGAAGTTTAGATTCAAACATGAAAACTTGTTAGTATTCGAGCGTTGCAAGCGTCCAGACGAGAGGCTTGATACAAAAAGACGTTTTGCCTTTTCAACTACATGTTCTATGTTATATGTGTTTCTACAACTGAGTAATACTGTGGATACATGTAAGTAGTGAGCATTGATCTATGATTGCTAATGGAAATGTTATGGGTTCTTGGGAGGAGTTCCTAGCTAATTATGGCAATTAGGATCAAACTATTGCAGAGTTCCACACTCTTAAGAACTAAAGTCGCTGAGGTGCATTATTATATTTTAATGCCAGATAGCCCCATTCAATTTCCATACGCACTCTAAATGCTTCCGTCCCATCCTCTGAACTTACATTATTAGCTCTTACTCTGAGTTTTAAAGAAATATTCATTGTGTGTCTATCATTTCAGTATCACACAGCTGAAAACCAGTAAATTATAATTAGCAAAATTAAATCGAGTCCCATTGCTGCATTTGGTGTCGCAGTTGAATTTATTTATTTCTTATTTTGCACCTGTTTTGTGGATGAAGGAGGTAGCTGAGGCTGTTGGTACCATTCAGTGAACTCTAGGCTCTCTTACACCTATGACCTTCCCAGGTAAGCACTGTTTGTTAATTAATTACCAAAGTAAAATGAACTGTATGTTGCTATCAAATATTTCCATGCATTTATTGTAACTATTTTTCTCTAAATACATCCCCATTTCTAGAGCTAGCAAGTAGCCTTGAGTAAAAGTGTGTTTGCTCCAGGGACCAAATTAGGATTAACCTCATGTTTTCATTTCCTGAGCTTGGAAAGGCATAGAAACAAAATTTTCAGTCTCCAGAGCCTAACAACTTAGACAGAGATTATCTTCTCTCTGCTGTAGGATTTCATCTCATGATGTAATAAGAGGATTTAAAAGCAGGGAAAAGCAGTCCAGAATAAATCTTTGTATAAAATCTCTGCTATTTTCATGGTTTCTGTATCTGTAAGACATTGCTTTGGAGTAGCAAAGCTCCAGGATATTATAGCCAAGACTGAACAGAGGAGTCTCACCAAATATGCTTTTTTATTTTTTTTCTGAAGTGGAGGTGGAGTTTTATGTGCAGTTTTCTAGGTTCCCTGGCTTGCAATGCTGCAGCAGGTGATACTAGAATGTAATATCGTGATTTAGGTTATTTATTTAACAGCATGAGGAAGGGAACGCTTACCCTGGTTCACACGAAAAACTTATGGAACTCTGGTAGTGGGAGTCTATAAAATCCATTTTTCCGTGCTGCAAGGGTCCAGGACTGGGACATCTCTTTGCTGTTAATTAAAGATAAAAACAGGATAATATTATTTCATGACGCATGAAACTATGATAATGGAAATAAGTTGATCATCAAGGGGTCCTGGTGTCTTTCATATTTCCCCACTCCCATGTACTACACTTTAGAAGTCTTGCTATTTTACATTTCTATCAGAATACACTAGTTTCAAAGTCTTTGTGATTAAATAATTTTTAACATTTGATTGTCTGAGGAAAAAAACTTCTACGCAATGAAATTATAAAAATGAACAATGAGGCATATGATAAATGCGGGTGTTATCAAGCAGTATGTGTCCTTAGAGTATAAGCACTGCTGGGCTGAGTCAGATTAAGGTTCACCTTGTCCGGGTCCAATCTCCATCACCATCGGGAGCAGAGGCTTAAGGGAAGCTGTGGGTCATGTATGGGAAGATCCTTCCCCTGTTACTGCCCCTCTTCTCCCCCACACCCAGTTGTCTTCCAACAAGTAAGGGAAGAACAATTAGAGAACAGAAGTGTATCAGATTAATACATCACATTCCTCAAGTGGACTATAAAATACCCTTTTCAGATCAACACATAGCTTAAAATCTAGGAGTAGGATTCGCTTTGTTTTACTTACGTAGGCACAACAGTGTGTTGAGGGGCCACTTCCCAGTCGGGAGGCAGGTGTACTTCCTCTGGCCGTTATTGGGGATGAACCCAGGCCTGCAGGTATATTCTATTTCCTCACCCACGTCATACACACTTTTGTTTACATCAATTGTGGCAAATAGCACTTCTGGTGGCCTGGGACAGACTGGAGGAAAGGAGACCTTTTACAAGAAATTGGGCAGAAAGATGGACTTGTTTTTATTTCTCAACTGGGAGCCCAGGTTTCTGCATTCTCATCAGCTATGGTATGTTCCTGCACTGAGCCAAACTGCCCTTCTGTAATCTATAGCTACGTAACTTACTGAGGCCGCTGATGGCTGCTATAAGGATTAGCCAGAAAAAAAAATGTGTCCTTCCTCTTCTCCTCTCTGGTAATGGCCCCAGTTAGTTTTTGTGTCACTTTTTTTTTTTTTTTTTGCTAAAATTTACATTTGCTTTTTTGGATTTATGAAGTTATTCTGCAAAGTGAGTCAATCCCTCACAATATCTTGGACAAGAGAGGGTGAGGAAGGACTAAGAAGCAAACTAATGCATTTCATTTTTAATCTAAATTAGTTTGATGGGGTCAGCCTGAAATGAGGTTTATTTATTTTTTTAATTAAATATCTTTTTCTCTGGTTTCCCCAATTTTTCTGCTCAGTGGGGCAAACACTCTGTTACATTAGACAGTTCTGATTCCAAAACAGCTTTAACATGTTGACAGCGTGAACAACTTATCACCCGGAGAGTGAGAACAGGAGGGAGAGGCGAGGGAGGAACGGAGTGTGCAGATTGCGTTCTGCAAAGGACATGGAGAGAGG